CGGCTAACGTGGAGTTCGCTGTGGAGCGCCTCCACGCGCAGCGTATTGGACACGGATATAACGGTGCGCTCGATAGCGCTGTTTATCGCAAGTGTTTGGCCGCTAGTATTCATTTCGAGACGTGTCCGCACTCCAGCTATTATACGGGTGGTGTCGACCCCTCTATAAGACACCCAATCCTAATGTTGGCCGAGGAAAACGTCAACTTCTCTATTAATAAAGACGATCCGACGGTTTTTGATTGCACTTTGGATTCAGAATATGAATTCTTGACTCGATTGGGATTAAATGAACTCCATTTCATTCGAGCCGTAAGTGTTATCTGATTGTGAAATTGTTGAATAAGTTTATAATTTTTAATGAAATATTATATTTAGAATATAAATGCAATGAAAGCATCGTTTTTGCCACAAAATCGAAAGGAAGAACTACTGACACAATTGTATACAACTTATGGCTTCATATGACAACTTTATACAATTTCTTAAATTTTAATTTGTGATCATTTTTATGAATTGAGAAAATAAACAAAATTATTGCATTTCAATTTGAATGCTTGAAACTATAATTAAATATATTATTTGTTAATTGATCGTAATTTTATAAGATAACTTTATTTTATCATTATTATAAAATTTATAATCATTATAATAATTATGATGATGATCAAATTAATATATTTATTCGAAATCAAAAGTTTTTTTGTTTAAAACTAACGTAAAGTCAAACAAAGTTATGTGATTCAAAATTCGTGCCAAAAAGTAGTCAACATTTGGACACATGTTTTGGCGCTCTTTCAGTGACTTCTGCCACACATTTCATCACTCGTTCACAACATTTGATGCTTTGAATCAATTGTTGTGATCATTGTCTCCCATTTTCAGCCCATTTATGATCACAAGAGTTGCCACAAATGGATGAGGAAAACCAATTGGGTTTGTATTCACTGTCACTACTGTTTGTCTTCACTATTGATTCAAACAATTTTGTTGACAACAAAACCCATAAAACAAAACATTAATTTTGCGATCATTTTGTGGTTTAATATCCGAAGACATACCACAAGAGCCCACTTTTCTGGCCTTTTATCGATCGTTGGGTTCGTGTCCGCCGAAGACATACCGACTCTTCGATAGAGGAGATTATTACACACTTCACGGCCCGAACGCCGAGTCCATCGCCAAGTGCTTCCTCTGCACCACATCTGCCATCCGATACATCGGAACCGATGGCCATAAGATCGCGTCCATCGCTATATCTCAGGCCAGATATGAGTCGCTATTGAGATATATTTTGATTGAAAGCAAAGAACGCATTGAAATATACAAGAAGTCAATCAAAAAGAAGGCATCAAATGACTGGCAATTGGATCTTAAGGCTAGTCCTGGATGTCTGGGCCCTCTCGAAGACATTATCTATTCGACCAACACTTCGATCGACAGTCGAGGCGTTTGTGGCATTCAATGGTCTAATGATTTCAAGATCGGAATCGCTTTCATCGATGCGATTATCAATGAGATCTCTTTCTGCGAGTTTGAAGACAACGAGTATTTGTCTCATTTGGAGAGCCTTTTGGTGCAAATTAGTCCCAAAGAGTGTCTCATTTGTGTTCACGACAAACAAGAGTCGACGGCCAAGAAGTTGACCACAATTTTAGATAATAACAGAATTCTGGTCACAGAAGTGAAGAAGAGTTCGTTGAGCGCATCGAATCTGGAATCAGATTTAGACAAACTCTTGAATAAAAGTGATAACAAAGAAATCACTATCAATGGTAACCATTTTCTGTCTTTAATTTGATTTGTATTTAATTTTAATTTTGTTTTTTCTGTCGACAGCGATGTTAGAGCAGAAGTGGCTCTCAAAAGAAGCGATCGCTGGAGTCTTGGATTATCTCAATCTTTTAGGCGATGACTCTAATTATGAAAGTTTTCAATTCAATGAAATTAATTTAAGACAATTTGTCAAATTGGACGCAACGGCTGTCCATTCATTGGATTTGTTTCCCAACGCTGTCAACGATTCCATGTCTAATAAGACCAATAGAACCTTATTTCAAGTGCTCAACAATTGCCGCACACTTTCAGGCCAGAGATTATTGGCTCAACTCATTCGACAGCCTTTGACTGATATCAACAAAATCGGTATTTTACCCGAATTTAAGCCTATTTTTACAAAAATTACAAACTATTTAATCTTGTTTTAGAGGAGAGACTCGATATCATTGAATATTTTGTTAAAAATTACGACATTCGTCAAGACTTGAGCGAAATATACCTGAAGAAAGTGCCCGATTTGTCCCGCATTTACAAGAAACTGCACTCCAAAAGGGCTACACTTCAAGACTGTTATCGCATTTATTTAATGACTAAAATATTACCCAATTTTGAGAATTGTTTGATTCGAGACGAGAGCGACGAATGTCTGGCAATGAAGCAAAACTTTTCAGATAAACTGCGAGTCATTTGCTCTGAACTGTCGAAGTTGTCGAAAGCATTGGAGGGTGTCATCGATGAGGAGCGCATTGAATCCAACGGCGAGTTTTGGATTAAAGCCGATTACGACGACGACCTCAAAGAGCTTCGCAAACGACTCGATCGCTTCGAAGAGGAAGCAAATGCTGTTTATAAGGCTGTCGATAGAGAGATCACTAAAGAGCAGAAAGAGGACAAATCTGTGGTTAAATTGGAGTCGAGTT